ATCTGAAAAGAGAAGCTTATAAGGAATGGAAGTCAGGAACTACCACTAAGGAGGATTAGGCAGCACTGGCCCACACCTGTAGGGAGCAGACCAGAAAAGCCAAGGCTGAAACTGAACTTAAACTGGTTACAGGAATCAAGGACAATAAACAGTCCTTCTTCAAATATGTGGGAAGTCTGAAAAAAACCAAGGGCAACATTGAACCGCTGCTGAACCAAATGGGGTAGCTGACAACTGACACCCAGGAAAAAGCTAATCCCCTCAATGATTACTTTGCATCAATTTTCCACCAGCCCAAGGGAACCACCCTGCCTGACAGGATGCTGGACTACCAGGGTAAGGGCGATCATACTCCTAAAATTTGTGAAGATCTTGTGAGAGAACACCTTGAGAGGCTGGACATCCACAAGTCAGATGTCTCAGATGGAATGTACCCAAGAGTGCTAAAAGAGTTGGCTGACATCATAGCACAACCAATGGTGAAGATATTTAAAATTCGTGGCACTTGGGAGAGGTTCCTGAAGATTGGAAGAGGGCCAATGTGGTGCCTATCTTCAAAAAGGAAAGGAAGAAAGATCCAGGGAACTACAGGCCAATCAGTTTGACCTCAATCCCTAAAAAGATCTTGGAAAAATCATCAAAGAAACCATCAACAACAGGCTAACGGAAGGCAACATTCTGAAAGATAGCCAACGTGGCTTCACTGCGGGTAGGTCTTGCCTGACCAACTTCATATCCTTCTATGACCAGGTGATGATTCACAAAGACAAAGTAGAAGAGGTTGATGTTATATATTTAGATTTCAAAAAAGCCTTTGACTAGGTCTCCCACGATGTCCTCATGGTAAAACTGGGGAACTGCAGTCTCAACAACCTTACAGTCCAAGGGCTGGGGAACTGGCTCTGTGGTCAGACCCAGAGAGTGACAGTCAACGTAACAGAGTCAGCATGGTGCATGGTGACCAGTGGCATCTCCCAGGGCTCAGTACTTGGACCAATACACTTTAATATATTCATAAATGATCTGGATTCAGGTGTCAGAAGCAGACTGGCTAAATTCGCAGATGACACCAAATTATGAGGAAATACAATCACACTAAAGGATAGGCTAGCAATTCAGGCTGACCTAGACAGGCCTGCAAGGTGAGCAGACCAAAACCTGATGACTTTCAACATGGAGAAATGCAAGGTGCTTCACCTCAGGAGAAAAACCCCACATCATACTTATAGGCTCAGCAGCACTAGCACCAAAAGAGACTTGTGGGGTCATTATTGATTACAAGATGAATATGAACCACCAATTTGATGCCATAGCTAGCAAAGCAAATAAAACTCTGGCTTGCATCTACCGATGCATCTCAAGCAATTTCCAAGAAGTCATCCTCCCACTGTACTTGGCCTTGGTGAGACCGCAGCTGGAGTACTGCATCCAGTTCTGGACTCCACACTTTAGAAAGGATGTGGAGAAGCTTGGGAGAGTCCACAGGAGAGCCACACACAAGATTAGAGATCAAGAGAGCAGGCCTTATGAGGAAAGGCTGAGAGGTGTGGGACTCTTCAGCCTGGAGAAGCAAAGGCTCAGGAGTGACTTGGTGGCAGCCTATAAGTATATAAGGGGTGTGCATAAGGAACTGGGAGAATGTCTGTTCACCAGGGCACCCCAAGAGAAGACAAGGTCTAACGGTCACAAACTGCTGGAAGATCATTTTAGACTGGACATAAGGAAAAACTTCTTTACCATCCATGTCTCCAGAGTCTGGAATAGACTCCCCCCAGAAGTAGTGCAAGCACCTACTCTAGATACCTTTAAAAAACGCTTGGATGCTTATCTTGCTGGGGTGATATGACCACAGCTGACTTCCTGCCCCTTGGGTGGTGGGCTGGACCTGATGATCTCATGAGGTCCCTTCCATCCCTAATGTCTATTTAATCTATTTCCCCAATGAAGCAATGCACAAGACTGAGTCATGCTCACATGAAATTGTGGGATTTAAAATCACCCCTTCAAACAAAACCTCCTTCACTCACTCACTCCTTTTCTTGTTTCTCTACCTTTCCTTCTCCCAAAGAGTCCCTTGCTTTGCTATCTAATCCCTGTTTTACCAGTTATTTCTGTGAGGTTTGAACTTTTTCACTGCTGCTTCCAAAGCTCTCTCAGGGCCTTGTTACATGCTGCACTGTGAGCCACACTAATGTTGACTGGTTTGGTGCTAGCTTGCAGTCACACCTTCAACCTAAGCAGCACATCTGTGGGGAGTAGCCAAACCTTAATGGAACAGGAGCTGGGTTATGTGGATCAAGAGATAATCCTGCCTTGGAGTGGCATAACTTTGATCTTCACAATGAGTTTTTAAAACCACTTAAAGGTGTTAACGTGCCAACAATCCAGGGGTTCTGAGCTCCAGGAGCTGTCCAAAATTAACATACAACAAAGTCCTCACTTTATTAAATATTAAGGGAGACTGATGCCACCTCCACACTTGAGCTTTGTACATGAAGAGATGACATGCTAACAAGAGGAATAAAACAAGCAATCCTATGGACTTTCCTACATTCGTGTTGAAGGCAATAAGTTACACAGCATTATATACATAATTCATAGCCTTATTACATTCCCAGACACAAACCTTTTGCTCCCTGAAGGTTTTGGCTCCTGCTCTGTTTCCTCTGTTTTCTTCCCTGGTATTAATTTTTCAGCACTATCCAAAAGGGCACTGAGTGCCACCCTTCTAAAGACATTTCCATGAGCCTCCTTGATAAATTGGACCAACTGTCGGATGTCACAGTATAATCCCTGAATAAAAAAATATCATGAGGCAGAGGGGGAAAAGGAGAGAGAAAGAGAGAGGCAGAGAATTCTATAATGGGTTTGCTTTTAAGCAGAGACAGGTGAAGTTACTTTATTTTTAGATGTAGTTAGTAGCTTTTAAATTATTATTGTTATTCAGATGAAGCACATGGTTGTCATATAACCATTTCAATAAGGAAAGGTGCTGTCCTGTTGAGCTATTCCCCACCAGAAGCACATTGTTGTTATGAAACCTATGCTGTGTTGGACTAAGGGAGCTTTAAGTTATGTCAGGGCTGGGACATCTGCAGGAAGAGGGAGCTGCAAAGATTGCTCAAAGCCTCTTTTACCCCATTCATCTAAGCCCACAATGTTAAGAGGTAGGAAAAATCCAAAAGAAAAAAGCTCCAAATTGCATGTTGTGTTTCAGAACCTGTCAGCATCTCAGGATTTTTCTTAATTATTTTAGAGGATTACTTCATGAAAATGGAAGGCAATGATTCACACATTCACCAGTCTAACTCCTACACTTAGATTTTTTTTAGTTCAGTGCATTCACATATATATTTGTGGCAGCTAAGAGGAGTTGGTATGTCAAGGTCTCCTCTGATTCAGGGAAGGTGGCTTTCCAAACAGCCCAACTTCTGTTCAAGGAAATCTCTTGAAACCTCATGATCTATTCTGAAAATTTCAGGCTTGGATTTATAGAGCCAGTATTCTACAACCCTC